CAGCCAACTTGGTGGCAAGCTGATTACATGGGACCACTTCCATCATAGAAAGAACAGCATTTTGTTCTTACTGAGATACTTATTCTGGATATGGATTCGCCTTCCCTGCACACAATGCTTCTGCCAAAGCTACCATCCATGGACTTACAGAATGCTTTATCCACCATCATGGTATCTCACACAGCATTGCTTTGGATCAAGGGACTCACTTCACAGCAAATGAAGTGCAGCAATGGCCTATGCTCATGGAATTCACTAGTCTCACCACATTCCCCATCATCCTGAAGCAGCTGGTTTGATAGAACGATGGAATGGCCTACTAAGAACACAATTATGACACCAGTTAGGTGGCAATACCTTGAAGGGTTGGGACAATGTTCTCCAGGAATCTGTATATGCTCTAAACCAGTGTCCAATATACGGTTCTGTTTCTCCAATAGCCAGGATTCACGGGTCTAGGAACCAAGGGGTGGAAACAGGAGTGGTACCACTTGCTATTACCCTTAGTAACTCACACAAAAAACTTTTGCTTCCTGTCCCTGCCACCCCGTGTTCTGTGGGTCTGAAGATCTTAGTCCCAAAAGGAGGAACACTCCCACCTGAAGACACAATACTGATTGCACTGAACTGCTAGTTAAGAATACCACCTGGCCAGTTTGGCTTCCTCATGATGTAAAAGGGGTTAATGCATTTCAGTTTTTCCTATGTTAGCGTATTAGTGTGTCATGTTAGGTGCAAATATGACTCTTAATTGTCCTTATTTACAGATTATATATGGTTAAGGAGATGTGTACAACTACCAGGTTGACAAGGCGTGAACTGTGATAGTTGGAGTTGTGTGTTAACTTGGCTGGACCACAGTTCTGAGTGGTTTAAGCAGTTGTGATGTGGGTTATTCCCATGATGAGATTGGATGTCTATGTTTTGAACAGCCAATCTGGTGAAAGGGAGTTTCCCTAGGGGTGTGGCCTGCTTCCAATATATTTATGCACAGCCTCGGAAAAGAGACATTCTTCTGTGGATCTGGATTCTGTTGTGCTGTTTGTGAGCAAAAATCCACCATTTGGCCTGGAGATCTTGGATTCATCATTCACTGGAGTCAACAGCCAGTATACTGCCTGCCAACCTTGAGCTCATCAGCCTCTAAAGCTGCATGAATCGGGAAAAGCCTCCAGCTTGATGTTTGATCTGAGAACTTGGAACTTGCCAGCTTTTATAAGTGTGTGAAACGTTTTCCTAAGATAAACTCTCTACATATAACCTTTACTGGTTTCGTTTCTCTAGAGAACCCAGTCTAACACAGTAACCAAGAAAAAAAAAAATCGTAATACTTATCCAGAAGATACTAGGCAGAGGGTGCCTTCATAACCATCCCCAGTAAGAACCTTGGGCACTAAATTTGTAATATGGTCCTCTAACAGCCATTTTGTGTTCCCAAGTATCAATACTGCAGGAATCTAATGCCATGTGTCTGCTCCTGCAAAACTTGTGCCTGGTTTCAACTTCACCCCATGTGATTTTTCCTTTTATTTTGTATCCTTTCAGTGTAATAAATCATAGTCATAGATAAAACTATGTGCTGAGACAGGTGAGTACTCCTAATAGAGAACAGAGCAGTACACAGGAAGGCCTGTGAGAAGGAATTAATTTAATGATTGACAAGGATAGCGCCCTGAAGTCACACTTCAAAATTTGGAAACCCCCCCCAAATTGTGAGAATATAAATTTGTTATTTATAAACAGCTACTTGAGGTATTTTTGTTATGGTAGCACTAGGCGACCAAGATAATGCACTTAAAATATCACTGGGGAATAGCATCCCAGCCTGCTGTTTGTTCTTACTGGTTCCAATCTGAGGATCCACTGCCTCCTTATATACACATTTTCAGCAGGGAATTTTTTTTTTTTTTTTAAACCTCAACACAAATACACCGATTTTGTTCTTCTCTCTAGGCTTTCACTCTTCTTAACTACCTGGTAATTGGTTAATGGATTCAACCGCTAACCAAAAGGTCATGGTTTCGACCTACCAGCCACTCCATGGAAGAATGATGAGGCAGTCTGCTTCTGTCAAGATTTATAGCCTTGGAAACTCTACGGGGCACTTCTACTCTGTCCTACAGGGTTGTTGAGTCAGAATCAACTGATGGCAGTGGGTTTGTGAATTACCAGAGATTTTTTTCTTTTTAAAAACTGATAATTCATTTATTATGTATATGCCATTTGATAATATGATCATAGTGTAAGTCTTAAATGTAAAGGATTAATTTAGTACTTTTTCAAATTCTATTTCACATGATTTGCTGTATGGGGACTACTGATGTTCACTGAAAAAATTAGAACATATTTTACAGAATTATAAAATGGAAAAAATCATACACACAAAAAGCTCCTTTCCAGAGAAAATCGCTAAGGATGAATATCCCCTTCAAGAATATAATATGCATGCAAGCAAGCACAGACACACACAAAATGATTTATGAGTTGATTATATTATGAATCCTCCAATTTATTATTTTTCAAAACGAATGTTCTTATCCTATAATTGACTATGCCATCATTTAAATGGCTTTATTTTTTACAGAAATACCACAAAACTCAAATTCCTGCAGATGAACAGGGCATCACTGATGTAGTAATTAATTTGTTTTTTAATCTTGTAATAGTGATTTTCATATCTAAGAGATTCCCATTATACATGTCAATATATACTCCTTTCCAAAATCTGCATTACTGCCAATAGAGAATGCATGTCAGTCCTGCCTCAGTAATGAACACATTTGTTACAATTACCAAACTCTCAGGTTACTTGATATGGGTATTAGTTTCATGGTGTCAGAAACTATGGAGTAGAGAATATGACAGTATTAATGTCCTGGAAATATGGCATAGCTCCTGCCTCATAAATTTTGGTTAAAAAAATACATAATGCCACAGGCAGCCTTTAGTCAATCATATCAAAATTGGATGAAAATGCAGAATACCAGGTATCAATAACCAATTTAAAGCTGACCAAAAAAATGTCATTGGTAATGTGGTGTAGTAATTACTTTATATAGTCCTAGCCTTGGTCTTGTAACACCCTAAAAATGCTTATATGGAACTACGCAAATTAAGTGCTTGTGGCCCAACAAGGGTATAGGACAGTTGTGCTAATGCAATTAAATACATGGAATGCTTGTAGGGGTGGGACCATGCAAATAAAGTGCATGAATGTCTTATAGAGGATTAGGCAGTTCTGCCATTGCACCAGGCTAGAAGAGGGCCATTACCAGAGGTTGGGAGTGGATGAGTTCACTACCGTCAAGAGCCAGGAGTGGAATGTACTTTGGACCCAGAGTTCCTGTGCTGGGAAACTCCTAGATGCCTGACACTGGAGATATGAGATGGTAAGCAGCAGCAGGAAGCACAGTAGAGACTAGGGGCAGAGAAATGGTGACAGAACCAGGAGAATGGTGTTAAGACATCTGCTGGGTTTCCCAGCCATAAAGTCTGCTATTGCAGGTGCGGTGACACAGATTGAAACTTGAGTGCCTTTGGGCAGAAGGCTTGCTGGCTGAGTGAGGTGCTTCTGGGCACTCAATAGCAGAGGTAAAGAGCTTTGTAAAACACGCAGAGCAGAGCACAGGCTAGGCCAGAAGCGGGGACCCAACAGTAATTAGCCAAAAAGCCACGGTCCAAATTAACTGAATCCAGAGACTTTCTTGTTACTTCCAAGTTTATCCTGATCCTGGATTGAATCCGATAACTTCCCTAATAAATTCCATAATCATATTGTCTGTTCATTGCTATGAATTATTGCCCTCCATGGAAGAGATGGCTGTCACAATAGTATAAAGGTTGGAAAGTGGAGGTATATCTGACTTCCACCTCTTGTGAATCAGCTCGGAGCTGATGATGGTGGTGATTTCCTCTCTTTCTCCTGAAGTCAGGAAGTCTGATGCCCCAGGTAACTTCTGACACTTTCAAAGGGTTATGGAAAAGCCCTACGTTAATACCACTGAATACGTATTCCACACATGGAATGACTTGTTGCAAGGTTAACAATTTTTCTGCACTGCCAGAAAAACCACAAAGTGTACTTCATTGTATACTGTATACATCTGACTGAACACTACACAGAGCACCAAGCAGTAAGACCTAACTTGGAAATAAAGGTTGTGGACACTACAGGAGCCAATTCTAAAACAACACTGTTGTGTGCCATTGAGTCAATTCCGCCAGATAGTGATCACATAGTATACAGTACATAGTATACAGTACTGCCTCATCGGGTTTGGGAGGCTTTAAGATTTACGGTAGCACATCACCAGGGCTTTTCTTCTTTGGAGCCACTGATGGATTCAAACCACCAATCTTGTTTAGTAGCCAAGCACTGACCACTGCACTAACAGGAGTCCTTTGAAAATCTATAGATTACAGTATTGTGTGGTTTTCCACATTTAAACTTTGTATCCTTGAACACTCATTGTTACTGGTATCATTTCTGTATAACATTTTCAAACGAAGTACACTATCCCCTTTTCATTCATTTAACAAATAAGCACTGACCATGTCCACAACTCAGCAGCAAAGTTCCTGCCCTCATGGAGCTTACATTCTAGTAGATATCAATTATTAAAGACTAGATAAAACTCTTACTTTTCCCAAGACCTATCTTGTGAGTGGTATCTCAAATTCCTAAGTTCTGCCTAAATCCTTACTGTATCACTTATAAACGTCCTATGATACATGCTTTGCTGAAAGACTTGAATACAACATGTTTTGTCTTCTATGGTAACTGATGATTACAAGAATTCAGGTGGCACATAAGTTTTAAAAACCTTCATTTTGAAGAAATCTTTCCTGTAAGGATTCTCTGATGTTACAACTATTATCACCTTCAGAAAACTGATCACCAGCATAGATTTTGTGATTTTAAGATTCGCTCTCCAACTGAAGTACTTATCAGAAATCTCACATTACTAAAGTTTCTCCCCAGTGTGAAGTCTAAGGTGAGATTATAGTTGTGAAGATCGACTGAAGACTTTACCACACACATCAAATTTGTATGGTTTCTTTGCGGTGTGAACACGCTCATGATGGTGAAGACTTGAGGCATGACTGAAGTACTTACCACATTCCACACAATTATATGGTTTCTCCTTTGTGTGGACCCTCCGATGGGTGTTAAGATTCTCACTCCACTTGAAGCACTTCCCACATTCATCACATTTGAATGGCTTTTCTTCATTGTGAACTCTTTGATGGGCTTGAAGGTTTGAATTTTGACAGAAGCTCTTCCCACACTCTTCACATTTGAAGGGCTTTTCTCCCCTGTGGATTCTCTGATGGGTCAAAAGGTGTGCAGCCTGTCTGAAGCCCTTCCCACACATCTCACAATTGTAAGGTTTCTCTCCTGTGTGGATTCTATGGTGAACTTGAAGATTTGGTCTAGTACTGAAGTACTTCCCACACTCTTCACATTGGAATGGTTTTTCACCACTGTGAACTCTCTGATGGGTCAAAAGATGTGCAGATTGTCTGAACCCATACCCACACTCCTCACAATTATAAGATTTTATTCCTGTGTGGATTCTACGATGAGTGTAAAGATTTGATCTACTACTAAAGTGCTTTCCACACTCTTGACATCTGAATGGTTTTTCTCCAGTGTGGACAGTGCAATGGGCCTTAAGTTGTGAAGCAACCCTGAAGTCCTTTCCACACTCCTCACATTTATAGGGTTTCTCACCTGTGTGGATTCTATAATGAATTTTAAGATCTCCTCTACTATTGAAGCCCTTACCACATTGTTCACACTTATATGGTTTCTCGCCAGTATGGACCAGCCGGTGAATCTTAAGTCTTGAACTCCAGTTGAAGCCTTGTCCACAATCCTCACACTTAAAAGGTTTGTCTATATTGTGGCTCTTCTGATGGGTTTTAAGATATGAATTCTTACGGAAACCCTTTCCACACATATCACATTTGTATGGTTTCTCTGCAGTGTGGAATCCCTGATGGGAATGCAAATGTGACCTGTACATAAAGCCTATTCCACACACATTACATGCGTATGGTTTCTCTCCAATGTGGACTCTCTGATGGCCCTGAAACAGAAAAGGCTGAATGAAGCTCTCACCACATTCTTCACGCTTGTAAGTTTTTTCTCCTGTGTGAACCCTCTGATGGATATGAAGATATGGGTTACCAGTGAAGCCTGTCCCATACTGCTGACATCTGTAAGGTTTCTCTTCCTTATGGATTATGCAATGAGTGTTAAATGCTGCTATATGATGAAAATTTTTACCACATTTATCACATTTGAATGATCTCTCACCAGTGTGGATTCTCTGATGTTTCTGAAAATGCAAAAGATAAATAAAAGTCCTCCCACATTCCTCACAACTATAAGGTTTCACTCCAGCATGGACTTTGCAATGAACGTTAAGTATTGCTCTACGCCTGAAGCATTTCCCACATTCTTCACATTTGTGTGGTTTTTCTACAGTGTGTATGATGTTCATATGACTTTGCAGATGTGAGCTCTGACTAAATACTTTACCACACTCATCACACTTATAGTGGTTCTTTCTCATGTGCACTTTCTGATGATTACGAAGAACTGAGGTAAAACTGAAGCTTTTTCCACACTCATTACATGTCAAAGACTTCTCTACTGAGTGTGAATGCTGATGAAGATCGAAGCTGAAGACATCACTGGAGGTTTCTAAATATTTGTTACATTGGTGAGGTTTCTCTCCTGTGAGACTAATAGACAGTCCTGCAACTGGAAAGGGTGAATCAACTTGTTTGTAGAACTGAGACCTATTTATCATGGAATCTTGATACCTGGTTAAGTCACTTGAAATCTGTTGCCAGATATGTGAGCTGGTAAGATCCTCATGTAGTCCTGCTTGTAGAACAATCACTCTCCGCTTTGGGTTCTTACCTCCTGTAAGGATAGAGAATTCAGAGATGTATAGGTGAAGATTTGTGGAGCATTTTTAAGACCTCACACTCATATAGGGAATTAGCATTACTCAACCCAGAAAAGGTTCAGCTGAGCTTTACCACTGCTTATCATGTTCTCTGGTTTACATGCCATCAAAACCAAGAGCAGATTCTCTGGGTTTTCACTCACTAAGGATTAACAAGAGCCACTTGAAAAATCAAATCCACTATGGGAGGTATAATTTAGAAATCAAAGCCTTAATTTTAAAAAGTGGTAATATTATACAAAATGTGAATTTATTGCTATTTCTACTCAATTTCAGTTAATGTAGAATCTTAGATAGTAAGTGAAATATTTACAAAATGCATGTAGAAAATAAAAATAAATTAAGGTGTATGTTTTGTTGTGTAAATTTTCACTATATAAAAATTTTAAAAAACTGAATATATAAAAGTTTTAAGGGAAAGAACACAGTCAAAGATTTTTTTTTTTTTTTTAAGGTAAATTCTTGATTAACTGAGCATCCCTGGTTGCATGGTGGCTAAGCATTCAGCTGCTTTCTGAAAGGTTGGTGGTTCAAATTGACCAGCCACGCCACAGGAGGAAGATGTGGCAGTCTGCTTCCATAAAGATTTATAGCCTTGAAAGGGTATGGAACAGTTCTCTGTACACTGGATCACTATGAGTTGGTATCAACTTCATAGCAATGGGGTTTTGAAGGATTTTTTTTTTTTTTTTTTTACAATTAGGGCTTTTTTCCTTTTACTTACAATTTTGGTCCTGGTTAAAATGCAAATATCAGATTTTGAAGGAAATGTTTATAGAAGACAATGTTACTTTTCTCCCTCAAGGAACAGTCAATTAGAGAATCTGCGTCATGTGTTTCAGCAGACAATCACTTTGTGTAAGAATTCTGTCTTGGATTACTCTACTAGACAATTACTCCAATACCTAAAGAACCGAGAGGACCTTGAATGGCTCTAAAGATATAGAGATTTAGGAGAAAAACACGTTGTCTATCCCTTACTGACTGAAAATGAAGCAGAGACTGTTCCTTTAACTTCTGCTGAGAAGATTTCAAAATGAGGACAATGGAGCAAAAAAGTAGAAGTGATGACAGGTACTATTTTGAAACCTGACAGTATTTCAGACCTTCGTGATCTCCAGGAAAAAAAAAGTGAACTAGGATAAGTTAATATTTGACAACAGACATAGTGTTAGGGAGAAAGAAAACAGGGCACAGTGGAATTTTTTTAAGACAGTCCTATCAAAGCAGTTATATTCAGCCAGGATCTACCCAGATAAGCTACTTCCATGGCTAGGTTCCTTACTACCTTGAAATTTCTGCACAAGTGTCAATCCATCAATGCATTTAATATAAATAATAATAAATATAAATAAATAATAAACACTGTCCAAGATCAAGTCACTTCTTGCAATTTCTACCTTCCTTGATTCTGTATTCTACAAAATACTTATTACTACATGACATGCTATCTAGGTCATTTTTGTTTACTGTATGTGTTTCTGACTACACTGCAGTATCAGTGAGGAAAAGCATTTACACTGTTTCTTACTTTATAATCACTGTCTAAAAGAGGGCATGTCACATAGTAAGCACTCAACAAGGGCATGTTGAATGAATAAATAAATCCTCTGACATTTCTGTGAACATTTAAGTCAAGTCATAGAAATGAGAAAGCATTTACAAATAAGTTCTGTAAAACAGGAAAGCAACAGAAACTTGCAGTTTTGCTGCTGAGGACAAAAGCAGAGACAGCAAAAATCACTTCCGTCAAAGAATGCACAAAGGCCTATGCATCGGTTCCTTCTGAGGTTTTAGGACCGGTCTCTTTGGAAAATAGAATACTGAAAATTTGTGGTATAGACAAATTGATCATTCCCATCAGGTTTTTAAATTAAACATCAAAGCTCATTAGTCAACTATGAAATTCAAAAGCTTATAGTAAGTATTAAAGAAAGAAAAGAATCAAAAGAACAGGAAATATCGGAAATATAATTGCAAGCAAAAAAAATTATCATTACAGGAAATGCTTTCTGGAGTCATATATATAAACACAATGAAAGATACCTTATGCGTGAAAACAATGGAACACTTTGGTTCAGAAAGTTCCAAGACTTTCATTAAGGAAATTATTTAAATGGTACATTGAAATGATCAAAAGTGTAGGCAACACTCAGCTGTGTCACTCGTTACTGTAATCATAAATGTGGCCCTTACAGCACAGCTAAGGGAAAACCCAGGGGTAGTGCTGTGCATGTGGACTTTGGAAGAGTGAACAGGCCACAACTTTCAAATCTTTCAAGGGAAATTAAGTATGCCTGGTTATGATGTAAGACCTTAGAAGGGGGAGATTGTTTTTTAATCTGTGGAGGGTGCAATGTAGTAAATTACATAGCATGGCTTTTCTAGCCATAGTCTTTGTAAACTTCCTGGTGGAATTTGCCATGAGCAACTAAGTAAGATGGGGCAACCTACTTCTGTAGTGATACTGCCTCGGAAACCCAAGAAGGGGTCGCTATGAGTCGGGTCTGACTTGACAGCAAAACAACAACAACAACAACCAAGTAGCTGTAGATTGTTAAAGTTATCCACCTGGGGTATTTCTGTTGAGAGAGCAGCAGGAAGCAATTTTCTGGGAAGTTTGCTCCTGCTCAGGTGTGCAGAATTCTGGTGCTGGGAGTATTTGGTTCTACCACTCTGCCAAGCTTAAAGTAAGCCCTCCTAGAGGCAGAGAGGAGAGTCTATCTGACTGCCTGCTGAGAAAGATGTGCTGCTGAGACAGACACATGCTACTGAGAGAGACTGTCAACTGAGAGAAGGCCAGCTGAGAGACTCAGCATGTTCCTAAACCTGAATTGTTGCCTGTTGCTCCCCTAATAAACCCCATAATCTGTGAGTTCTTGAACAAATTATCGAAACCCAGGAGAGAGATGGTGGGTGTCGTGGGAGGAACGACTGATGACAAGGTTAGTGAGAGGGTTGAGAGTGGAGGAATGTCTGGCCTCATAGGAACAGGCATTGGGCTGCTGCTGGTGATTGTGTCCTCCTCTTGTGTAGTTACAGGAGGTCAGAAAATGTTGACTCCCTGCTCCTTTAGCACAGGGCTTGTGTCAGAAGTAGGCATCAGAATCCTTACATGAAAATGTAGTATTAAGTTCTAGAAATGAACATGCAACCCTATGGAAGGCTCTAGGAAGGCCATGGGAAAAGCATGTTACTCAGCATAGTCCCAACCACAAAGTTTAAGTGCTTTCCTAGGATGTCAGCCAAGTGCACACACACACAAACACACACTCACCACAAGGGCACCTAAGAAAGTAGAATTCGACCAGGCGTTCATCAGAAGACTCACAATGTTCCACAACAGCCTCACTCTGGTTGGTGCATCACCTACCAGCTATCCCCATGACTCAGAAAGACAGAGGTCCCTCAGCACATTACCTCATTCCTGAGGTCAACAAATATGTACAGATGCCCATGATGTAGGAGGACAATCCTAGGCCCTGAGGAGACAGCAATAAACAAGATGGAAAAAATCTTTCATTCCTAAAGGTATAACACTCCAGTAGGAGTGACAGGTGATCAGCAGATAAAAAATATAAGTGACAAAAGACATGTGAAGGAGAGTAAAAAGAGATGGTATTTTAAATAAGGTGGACAGATAAGGCTTCTCTCGTGATACTGAAACAGAGGCCTGAATGAACTAAGGAAGAGGAAGGGGGTCAGAGAGATTTCAGGTGAAAGAGTATTCCAGGCAGAGGAGAGCAAGTAATGGAGTCTGAGGCAGAGGCATCCAGTAAACAGAACCGTGGTCCCACAGAGACTTCGAAATCCTAATGCCCAAGACTGTGTTAGGTTACATGACAAAAGGAAATTAAGGTGGCAGATGGAATTTAAGTCTCTAAACAGCTAATGAAATAGGAAGATTATTCTATTTTCAGGTGGCTCAATGCATCCACATGGGTCCTTAAAAGCAGAAGAGAGGCAGGAAAGCCAGAGGAAAATGTGGCCACAGATGAACGGTCAGAGGGATGTGATGGTGACAGCTTTGCAACTGGAAGGCAGGGCCATAAGCCAAGCAATGCAGCTGCCTCTAAAAGGTGGAAAAGTCAAGGAAATGGATCTTCCCTACATCCTCCAGAAAAGACAGTCCAGCTGACATCTTGTTTTAGCACAGTCAGACCCATATTGGACTGCTGGCCTACAGACTGTAAGATAATTAATTTGTGCTGTCTTAAGCCACCAAGCTTGTGGCAATTA